GCCCGGGGAGCTGGCCAAGCACGCCGTGTCCGAGGGCACCAAGGCCGTGACCAAGTACACCAGCTCCAAATAGAGGCTGGACGGAGGGGGGACAACAGTCACCAAATCACCAAGACGCTGTGTAGCCCCCCTTCACTGTGTCGGCTGTTTACTTACCAAAACAGCGTTTGTGATTTTGCACCATTGACGGTTTTCTGAAGAGACTGATTGCCAACTGAACCCAGGCCTTATGCTGAACGTCTTGAGATTCATTGGAAGTGTAGCCTGCCATTTTGTTTTAACTCAGTTTTTTTCTGAGCTGTGTACTGTTTTTAACAAATAATTTAATAAATCCAGAACGAATGTAAGTCGGTGCTCTTAAAACTGAGTGTCCTTTGCTTTGCACCATTGTAATGCTGATTTGTATACATGCACCTCAGAAAATTACCGGCAGACTCAACTGTATGTAATGGCACAGTGAAAACAGAGTGAGATTAACACTGTAATTTACTACCAGTGAGTAGTTTTGCTTCTACCTGTAGTCTGGTGGTAGAATTAATCCACAGCTGGGGGAGAGACAGTATTATGACTGGAAGAGCTGTTATAGAGCGACATCTATTGGTAGCTGGAGTTAATGTGGGGAAAGAGTGCAGGTGCATGTACACATTAGGGTTATTATGGGGCAAGGACTCATAATTGGTGTGTTTGCCAGTTAAAATCAAAACCAAGCATTCAATCCAGTGTTGTTCACAACTGCCTTCTATATGCTTCTGTTGAGTGGGAGCTAATAATGGTTCTGTAAATATCTATCAATCTATGCTTGATAATATGAGATATAAAAGTGATAAACTGAATTATTTTTGTAATTAAATGTCTTCCCATTATTCCAACATACTCCCTTTCAGAGGGAATAAATGAAGACTGGGCAGACAGTGCGGTTGCACTAAGGTCCATGGGAGGGGGTAGGGGTAGATCTAAAGAAATATTTGTAGGGTGTCCAAAGGGTGGCATGGAGATTTTAAGGGATGCCCGAAATATCTGTTGATTTAATCACAAACAATCACATATCAATATTTGCTTGGAAAAGTCCCCAAATGAAGATCGAAGACAAACATTATTGTGGCACATTAATAAAGTTGAATATCTAAAGGTGGCATTAGAAATCAATACATTGTTTACTTTCCAAATCTTCACACATTTTTCCAAATAAATGTCTGCTTCCATTAAACATAACACTGAATTCATTCAGTTTGAAATGTGGCCATAAGAGATCATTCAATTAATTTGTTTTTTAACATGTTATTTAAAAAATGAATAAAAATGAATGTGTTAAATATGACAGCGTTTGACATCAAACTGGAATGGCAAGGGGATCAGGGCCATAAAGCTAGAATAATAATAATAAAGCCCTACTTTTGGTGGTGCCCTGGTAGCTCACCAGGTAGAGCGTGCGCCCCATGTACCAAGGCTAAGTCCTTACCGCAGTGGCCTGGGTACCATTCCAACCTGCAGCCCTTTGCTGCATGTTGTCCTTTCTCTCTCTTCCCCCATTTCCTGACTCTCTTCAACTGTCTTGGAAATTCCAGAATTCATCATGAGAAATTGTCCAAATAGCAAGGAAGCTCCACATATAAAATCCAATCACAAACCTTTGGATAATGTCTCAGAAGTGATAAAGGGAAAGAAATATTGCCATCATCAAGTGCAGTAAATCCTCATCTCCTCAAATCATAATCCACAGATGGAGAATGGTGTACATATCACATACTGTAGTTACGGCTGTACTGATAGCGTCTTTATGTAAAAGGGGTGGGCATAAAAACAGGAACACCTTAACAATAATACAATTCAATTAAGTAGCCAGGCAATAAATCCAATATCATAAGATTATATAAATTCATGTTATTGTTCGATCCAACAACATTAAGGTCACATCCTCACTGTTTTATCTCGGAGATTTACATTCTTTTCCAGCTGATTCCAGTATTTTTAGACTTACTATATATTTAAACGTACTACAAGGAGTTTTTAACTGTTTAGGAAACAGCCTCAATTTAATACTGATGCGTCTGTATGACATCTTTATTGTCTTTACTTGGCCAATAAAGAAACAGAATATGATAGGATTTAATTTCAAGTAATTCCATTTGCATTCAATAAATCTTAACCATATATGATTAAGGACATCGGTGACGTTAATTGATGGCTAATATTCAACAAAAGCAAAACAGAATCTTTGTAATTTCACACAGATCCTGTTACCGCAGTGTACAAAGAAAGGAGCAGCTCCAATCAGGAATTAACTGGATGTTAAGGTTGTTGTGCCCTTAGGTGATGGAAACCAAAGACAGTGTTGGACAGGGAATATAACCTTAACAGGTTCAAAGTCTTTCTTTAATGAGAGAACCTGCTCCTGTTTCATAGTCTACTTTTGGACCAGACTGAAAGAATGGAACTTTTTTAAGAATGGATTAAATCTTGTACAAACTTATAGATTTCTCAGTAAGAAAGCTTTTGTCAATAAAACAACGAATATTGAGATGGATGTAGCAGATGCTCCAGATGTGAGAGAACCAAACACGAGAGAGGAATTTCATGTGACATAGAAACATCCTAACACGATGTCCCCCTCAAGCTTCAGTGGCCAGGATTAAGAAAAAGCAGATCTTGGAGTCACCTGTGCTAATAATCCACTCACATATGATTATGGCTGCTGAATGGGAAAACAGACGGACAGGATACCTACTTAATGCTAATCTCCATGTGTAAGCTCACCTCTACTACTATTGTTCAGATCAGGTCTCAGGGTTCCTGGAGGGGATCTGGGAGTGGGGGGGATTCGTGGTTCGGGTGACAGATGTAGGAGGTTTTTGTTTGGCAGGGCGTGCCTTTCTCTCCAAGTGTGAGATGGTGGCCAGGAGACCTAATTTCTGAACAAAGAATGGTAGCCCCTGGCAGAAGTGGAGGGGTGTGAAAAAAAAATCTGCACTTAAGTGGAGCAGAATTTATACCATCAACTTTTTTAGGTGCTCCTACGTAAATATGGCCGAAACAATTCAGGAGGTATTAATGTTTTAGTGATGTAATGTCTTCGGGACAGGTTGCCTTATAAGTAGGTAGATTTTTTTCTTACAGATATTTAAGGGTTTTGTAGTTTCATATGGATTTTGTTCTGACTGTACATGCCTACTTTTAAGATATTTTTGTAAAATTCTACCATAATATGTTAGTGACCAACTGAGTTGTGAGTCTTTTCTCGTCCATATACCAGTCCAAAAGAAGAAAGAAAAGAATCCCAACAATGATCTTTTCTCAACCCTATAGTCATTTCTTTCTCTTTTAAATCAAATCCATCTGTGTTGACGTAATTTATTGTACATTAGGACTCTTGCCTTACAAAAACAATGGCAGTTGAGGTCATTGCTGAAATGACAAGTTAAATTTATAGCTACTATAGCATAATGTTCCACCAGACCAAGGACACTCCATATAGGTTCACCTATTGTTCCGAATCTGTCAGATGATCCGGTTGTTGGGTCCAACCAGCTTGTGTTGCTCTCTTACCTTTCCCTTTCTTCTCAGTGGGCTTCCTGTGAACTCCTTTTGGCTGGAAAGGAGGCCACTATAAATCCTGAAGTCATGAAGGTAAGAGCAGACACAGAGAATACAAACTGAGGTGGGGCAACACTCTTTGGCCACAAAAGGTAAGAAAATCTTATCAAGAGAAATCTCATATTATATTAGTTTTTGAGTGGTTATAAGATATATTGATTTTATTGTTTCATCTGCAGCTTGTACCTTTGATTTCTTATTTTTTTATGTTACAAAGCCTCCCCACAAAAGTCTATACTGCTTCTATAATCACTACATTTTAGTTTTTAAATGTCTCATTTTACTGCAAAAATGAACCTAAAAAATAATATGTATAAATTGTCACACATTCAGAGCAATGAATGGACTAGTCCCGGTTTACTCTATATCTTCCACCCAATGATGTACAGTAGCCATGCTAGAAAAAGACAAACCAATCAGTATCACGTTACAAGATAAGAGTTTAACTTATTATTATAACATCATTTCTTGTTAGAAACATGTTTTTTTTTAACAATAAACTTAACGTTATAACAAGACAAATAGTATATTGTTATAAGAAAAATTCTTATTATAATGTGAAATGTACTATTTCATAACAATAAGTAATCACATGAAACGTTTCATGTTATAACAAGCTAAATAGTGTATTGTGATAAAAAGAAATGTTTCTTGTTCTAATGTGATACATTTGTAAGTCATAATAACGTGAAAATATATTGTTGGATATAAAAAAAACATCTTGTTATAACAATAAACTTTTCATGTTATAAAGTGAAATAGATCAATTTAATGTTTCTGGTGTGGCAGCAATAGGCTTCCATAATGCTGCTACAACTGCTGCTGCTTCGACTCTTTAACATGATCCAGTAGAGAGGAGATCACTTCTGATTTCTTTCATCTGCTTTTACCAGCAGTTTGACAAAAATGTGGCTGGCCCTTCTTACGTATCACCTTGCCACACTTTTTCTCGCCCAATGTCAAAATCCATGCATCGGACACCCCACATTCAAGAGTCCAGGTCAGTAAAACTATCAGTTCTCACTTTCTCATCCTTTCCTTCCATCCCCATCCTGCACCCTCCCTTCCTTTCACACTTGTTTTTCTTCTGCAAGGTAGTCTGGCTATCTGAGGAGTGTGTCTTTATGGGGATGACGGAGTTTGAAAATGGAGCTTGTTGTTGACTACTGGAGTTTAATATAACATAAGCTACAGTATATGAAGGTATTATTTTCCTGCAGGTGCATTCCTCGAGGGAGAAAAAAAAGGGTAATATTCTCTACTGCATGCAACCATAGTTGGATGTTTTCTAGCTGTTTTGCATTGATAATGTAAAACTGAAGTTATAGGACTAAGATAAAAATTGTGGCAAGATGGGGTAACCTTCAAAAGGTACTTTGAGAAGTTTTATGACAAATGATGATGTGTAAAATTGCCAAATTTTGGAGCAAAAAATTCACAAATAAAGCACATATAAAACTGTTGCAATACAGTACAGCACTTTGGTAGCCCAGTAAAGCTAGCCGACTTCAACTGGTCAAAGCAACAGAGGAAGAGTTATCCCAACTTTTGAGTCCAGTGCCAAAAACACTGAATTCTACATTTCCAGTAATGCAACTTGATAGCGTGTTGGTTATGAAGTGGGAGGAGCACTGGTTCTGAAAGTATTTTGCTCCATTCTATATTCCCATTTCAATTTTTTTCCTGGATGATGTAACGATTCTACACCTAGTTATGATGATAAGTTTAAAAATAAATATAATAAATATTTTCTAACACAACTCATTGTTCTGATCATTCTGCTCATGATCTGATCAACCAAGGCGTTAGGCCCTGACAAATGAAGCAAAACTTTTTTATAAACAGGGATAGAAACACTGCATTTCAATTAAGGTGGGGTTTATTTACTTTAGTTGCTGCTGATTGGGTAACACCTCTGACTAAATGAGAGAAAAAATGTAGCTTAAAATCCATTGCATACTATTTCGAAGAAATGTGTTGTTCAAGCTGGAAACCGTAGCAAAACTGTTTTCAAACTGACCATGCCCCAGGAGGGTTCCAACAACAACTCCAGTTTGTTAAAAAAATATGACCCTAAAGCCCAATCCAAAACCTAATTTATCAGACTATAGCTGCTCCAGAGCAACAGAAAACACCATACAACTGTTTTCGCAGATTGTGCATACACACTCAGCATGTGACATACACACTCAGCATGTGGAAATAAATCGGGGGGGAGTGCCCCTTTCAGAAGTCAGTTCTGCAGTAATCTGTCCCTTGGAGACAGACTGAGTCATGTTCAAAATCCTAAAGTCTAGTCTCATCCTCGCTCTGTTCAGATAACTCAGACATTGAGGTCCTCTGTGGCTCTCAGAATGTGGATCTCCAGATCCTCCTGTGTCCCATCTACTTCAATGGATACAATGAGTCACTGCTGGCCCTCAACTCAGAGCACTCCAAACATCAGTGTAAAGGGACTCCGGACTGGTCGGTGGACCCGCCCGTTGTCAGATTCAACTTCTCCATCACAGAGGAGGCCATTTCTGCCTGCTCCAGCCAGCTGACAGTAGGTTATCTAAACCTGGAAACACCTAGCAGATCACACAACAGTTTCCTACTTGACAAACTCAACATGTTTTCCCTCAAAGGTCACTGAGGAGGCGGGAACAGGACTGTTTGCAGACTTCTCCCATGTCCAGTACATAACCATCTCAGGCATGATTTGCTCTACGGACCCCACCACAGGAGCCATCACCTATCACCAAGAGGTGATGTACAGGTTCTCTTGCCGCTACCCGCTGCAGTACCTGGTCAACAATACTCAGATGAGCGTGTAAGTTGCATTTGAAATAAAAGTGCACACTTAATTACTATTTTCAGTTTTTCTGTGCTCCCCATGGTACACTCCTAAACTGTGCTCGTTTTGCTAATGAAAGATCAATTATTCTTTGGTGTTGTGGTTGTTATTAAAATCTTTCTATATTATTCCAATGTTTATAAGCCTCATTTAATGCTGCTCTAAACCAGAAGTATTCTGTCATACAGGAAGAGATGTGTTTTACCAGTTTTTCCAGTTTGGAATAAGTAGAAGGAGAACTGAGCAGTGATACCCACCGGGACTCAAATCCATGGTTGAGTCAGTCATTATCCTTTCTATTATCACTAAGAGGTGAAAAGAACAGGCTACATCACATAGTAAACCTGGCCAGTACAAGGCGAAAATGTGTTAAAAGGATATTTTGGGTTTTTTGAAGTGGGGTTGGATGAGGTACGTATGCACAGTCACTGTATTACATACAGAAGATGGTGGTCAGCCATCAGGAGTACCAACACAGAAGCTAAGCAATGTACTGCTGTGGGTGGGGGCATTATTACACACGGGTAATGTTGTGCTGTCAAGTATTCAAAGTTGTCATTTAAAATTCAAAAACTGGGCACCCGTTACCTCAGTTGTTGGAGCTGGTGACCCATGTATGAGTTGCTGCAGCGGCCCAGGATTGAATCACACACATTCATACATTGATGGCAGAGGCTGCCATGCAATGAGCCAACAGCTCATCACAAACAGAAACTACTCCTATTCGTACACTCACATATGCATGGCACGGCATCAGGAGCAATTTGAGTTTCAGTATCTTACACAGGGAAGAGCCAGCAATTTAACCACCAACCTTCTACCTCCTGAACCACACCCACCCCCACAACTACAATTATATAGAAATAGCCAATCTTCTCACTGATGGTCTTGTTTGTTTATGTAGGTCATATAGCGGCATCAGTATTCATCTATATATTTTGGTGGGCTTTTATTGCCTTTAATGGATAGTGACAACTGATAGTGACAGGAATCAGGTGAGAGAGAGGGGATGACAAGCAGTAAAGGGCCACCGGTCAGATTCGAATCCTGGGCCACTGCACCCACTACATGGGTGTGCCAGCTCTACCAGGTGAGCTATTCGGGCGCCCTGAGTGATCAGTATTAGACGGAAAAAATGATCCCTACACTGGACAATGCATTTGCAAATCACTGATGACAGTGTGAATAGTTAATTCCTCACTAGCAAATGGGAAATAAATAGATTAAAGTAATCACAGTAGTTGTGTGTCAAATTAAATCAATAGAAATGAGAGTAAATGTATTTAGCTCTGGATAGTAAGGGTTAAGTCATGTTTTTAATTTCTTATATTAAAACATGTTTGTGTGAATGAACCTCAGCTCAGGTTGACTATATGTAAGAAAGTGTCATGTTATGGTCATACACTGCCCTCCTCACACCTTGCACAACAACTTGTCTCCCTCTTATTTTCCACCCTTGGGTCTCACGCTTGTCACATTTAGATTAAAAGAAATGATGTAAATAAAAAAGAAATGATCAAGTTACCATATTTGGTTATGCTTCATGGAACAGCCAGTGTCTTCAGAGGTGTCAGTTACTCCCGTGTCTAGTTTCAGTAGGGCTCGAATCTCACCTTGGTGTGTTGTTCCTTTATGTATCAGATGAAAGATGACCTGGTTGTTGACAACTTGGGTTTTTTCCTTCAACAATTTCCAGCTGTTGACAAAAAATGTTTTTGTCCAACAGGTCTGGGGTCAGTCTGGCAGTCAAAGACAATAACGGAAGTTTCGTCAGCACACTGAGCATGCGACTCTATGCGGTAAGAAGAGTGAGGTCTCAGCAGAAAATCAAGGAAACCATGTACAAGAAAAACTACACTGTTGCTCCTCTAACTTCAGAGGGTTAGGAAGACATTAAATCACACACTATTACTGAAATATATTTGGCAAAACAGCTGGTCAATATAGTCTGATTGGCCAATATAACAAAGACTAAGATAGCCATGGAATTATTTTAGTTGAAATGAATGATAAAAAGACAATTATTAGCAAGTGAGCCAAGTGAGCCATTGCAACATCCAAGTTATTATCATATAATATATTATATCATATAATATTATCATATATAAAATGTGTCTGGAGTCAATCTTCATTGAACTCTTAGTATAAAAGCAATTGAGCATATTTCCCAGTATGTCAAACTATCCGTTTAATCTTTCCGTCTAGGGCATTTATTGATTATTTACGGTTGTTGGATATGGGTTAAGGAGATGGGGTGGCTGGTTATGGCAGAGGGAAGGTGGAATGGAGGATGGTAAGACGAAGGGAGGGAGAGCTGGCTGCAAACAGACCAGGATCTTGAGACGTTGGAAAAAGAACAAAACACAAAGAAACTGAATACTAAAGACATGACTGTGTTTGCCTGTGTTTCGGCTTGAAGTAAATTCTGAAGGTTTACAGTAATTTACGCTGACTTGGAGCCTCATCTATCATTTCAGGCCATGAAATGGTCATAAAATTACTTAATGTCTTTGGAGTTTCCTTTATTTTATCATTTTAATTACTTAACAGGTATATAAAGTAGAGTTGAGTTTCTTTCAACATGACTGATGACTCGCTAAATTAAAATCCAGTGGTGTGGAGGGCTGGGCAACTTTAAGCTGATACTGGAACTCAAAGAACTTGTGTATCAATCTAAACAACATCCTTATCTCTTTTCTGTTATTGGGCATATAGGACGATAGCTACTCTTCCGTGCTGCAGATTCCACCAGTGGGCCTGGAGCTAAAGACCAGGATCTTTGTAGAAGTAAAGGCGTCCAACCTTACAAACAGGTACTTCACACACGTTTTAGCTGAAGGAGACCAAACATGATTTGCACAATAAAGAGCATACTGACATTTCAATCTCAAATATCTGGTAAAAAATTACTAATTCCTCCTTTGCAGGTTCAACGTGCTCCTAGACCGATGTTACGCCACAACCTCACCTTTCCCCGTCAACACCTCATATCATGATCTCTTTGTTGGGTGGGTTATCAGCGCACAGAGATACAGAAAGTGAAACAACTTGACTCAACAACTTGAAGCTTTTTGACACAGGGACAATGCTTAGAAATAAAGATGCACTAACAAGATTTTTCTGAGTATCCACATCAGTTTCACAGTTTACAAAATACAATAAAATATGTCTGCTTTGAACCTTCCAGGGGGGTGCTCCATACGGAAAATTAATCAACACTTTTGGTCCTATTCTTAGTATTCCTATTATATATGCAAGTTTATGAAAAACCTCTATAAGCAGGAGGGACAGGTTATCAATTTTACGTGATAAAAGCAGCTGTGAACCAGGCCCATGCTAAACCAGAGGGCATCCCCTCTGCTGTTCAGAATCTCTGAATTTTTGTCAGACTGAAACCTGGTAGAAACCCCTGAAGAACAGGACAAAAACATAACCATCTGTCCTCTTCAAGGTGTAACCGAGATGGCCAGACAATAATGGGAGTCAACGGACAGCAGCAGGAAGCACGCTTCTCCTTTGAGGCTTTCCGCTTTATCCAAAATTCAGACACAACTTTCTCCATGTACTACGTGCACTGCGCTACCAGGCTCTGTGTGAACTCCTTCTGCCCAAACCTCGTCCAGGTCAGATTCTGCCTCCAGGTGCTACACACATCACAAATGCAAACATGTCACATACATGTATTGAACCAGCCTGTAAAAACCCTGCATTACATTCAATGTTTTTTTATTCCAGATTTTTACAATATCTACCCATGGTAATGGTCAGAAAATATTGTGTTTGGCTTTGACATGATGCAAATTCTCACTCTCCTGCTACATACCCTGACTTTCTGCCTGGCTACGTATAGCACACGCTATGATATTATACTATGAATCTAGATGTAAATTTTCATGTACAGTAGTTATTGTATTTTCATGGAAAGCTGACATTTGACTGCTACTCAAATACAGCCCAGTCTCATGTCAAAAGGATTAAGAGACCCGCCAATCTGCCAGCGGGTCCCGTTTTATTAGTGTCAGTGTATATAGAGCAACAAGAACATTTGGAAAATGCGCGGTGGATTGATGGTTCAAACAAACACAGAACTCTCACTGAGGAAAACGCTAAACAAAAGTCAACGATTCTCAGGTACCATCCTTTCCTAAAAATAAGCAAGTAGTTTTGTGACCTAACTGCCTCTTCAGCAAGCTTTATTTGAAAATGTAAGCAGATATTGCACATTTATTAGTGCTAACTTGATCGCAGAATGAGCATGTGTTGAAAACGTGATACTGCCAATTTTGTATTTCATGCTTGGCATGATACTGGTTTGCAAATACTATTATTACATTCTAACAGCCTAGGGTACTTTATTTCTGCTAGAAAACTGTCCAAAATGATAATCACCTGATTCACCTGCAGAACTGCACCAACTCGAGGAGGCGCCGAAGTGTCAGCGACAACCAGGGCACCAAAGTCAGCGACATGGCCACCATCACCTCAGGCCCCATCACTACCCGCCTAGACAACGGTGAGGATGGTCTTGATAGGATGACGCCTCAGAATATTGAGATAGCGAGAAGTAACGAAGAATCATACCTGTCAAATATCAGTCTGCATAAGTTAATTGGAGGGTTCTTTCGGTCATGAACTAACTGAAGGTTTCTCTTGTTCTCTTGCAGGGAATCTGATGACATCTGGAGGTATGCATACACTGTCAACATGAGTTTATTCCCTGTACTTTTATCAAACAAAACAGATGACGAGATCATTGACAACAACATCATTAGGTTATCCTGATCATATACACACAAGTTATTAAGGCTCACAGGGAATAATAGGATGCAGTGTAAGTGAATTTATCCAAAGTCAATGGTTGGACAAAGAATCCTCACCTGCCAAATGGGGCCTCTTCCTAGAGGCTGTCCTGTCACTGCATGAAGTGAGTGAGAATGTCGGATTTCCTCTTTTTGAGAAGGGTCTATTTGCTTACAGACTACATGACACACCCACTTTACTACACAGATAGCGTCCTGGATTAACATACTTATTTGAACCCAAACCACAATATTTTCCTAAATTTAAGAGGTACTTTAGGTGCCCTTTAGGGGTGTCATGTAGAAGGCGTATCCTGTAATACTGTGTACCCACAGATAGACCTAGTTAGAATTTTTTGACCCAGTCCCCCCCAATTCTGGTGTCAGAAAGGTGTGGAGGAGTGGGTTGCTGAATTTGTTTAACTGTCTGACAAACACTTCTGATGGAGCATACTGGTACCTTAAGCATTACGGTTAGAACAGAGGAACAAATTACAATGTGAAAACCCAGTGACAATAGCAATGAACAATGAACCAACAAAAAATTATTAACTTATCATTATCAAGGATGCCTTTCAGGGCAGTCTCCCCTGAAAGGCATCATTGTTGCACTTGGTTGTTAATACAAACAGTGAAGAAAGTGTGTGAGAAGAATTGTTGGATTGACTGTTTCGGAAAGCCAACAATCTTTCTATACCGGAAAGGTGTGAAGAGAAAGGAGTTTTAGACATTGTTCCGAATGCGTGATCTGGCTAGCACTTTGTTTGAAGTATAGCTACTGACCCCCTTTGAGGGAGCCAGCTGAGACAGTTCATCTGATTAGAATGTATGTACTGGAAGGATGATCAGGGAAACCAATTGTCTTGAGAGCTAAATACATACATGTATTACATAAATACAGTTTCCATCATGCTCATTGATATATAAACTGTACATTGCTATACGTGGTCTAATCCTTAGAGTTTCTTTCCTTTCCCAGGTGCTCAGCAGACTCATATGAACAGCAGCATGCTGGCTGTTTCAGTCATGGCAGGCATCGTCGGAGCCATCTGTCTTACTCTAGTGGCTTTCATTGTTCACCAGATGTACAACTCTAAAATCAGTTCCAACAAGACAATCCTGTACCCACAACAGTGACAAAGGGTGAATACATCTTGAAAAGGATTTTGTCATGTTTCATTCTCTCATACTATATGGCCTACAGTATCATGGGAGCATTGTGATAACTAACTGAGAGCAAAAGTCTCTTTCTTCTGCATTAATTGTTGGTCTTATAAAATAAAGGTTCCTTTAAATAACCATACGATAGTAGAAGACCACAAAGTTGTATCTTGTAATCTATCAATTTAACCTTAAGTGCTTTCATTTAGCCCAGAAAGGATTGTTAACAGGTTAACAAACAGTCTCAATTTAATACTGATGCCTCTGTATGACCTACATAAAAGCAAACAAGACCACCAGAGAGAAGATTTAAGCTTAGAAGAGCTAATTCTAAATCAATGAAATCAATGAAACAAGGCAGTGGAAACACTACTACAGAATCAATACAAAATGAAAGTTCCTTGAAAGAGTCTCATATTTACTGTTGTCTGACAGGATTCAAGTACTTAAGTACAATTTTGAGGTACTTTTAGTTATATTTTACTTCATTAGCCTACATTTCAACAGGATATATTGTACTCCACAGCTACAGTTAAGATTTTATATAAAAAACATGATAATCTCATGAAACACGGTAATAAACCACTGGTTCCCAACCTTTTTGGCTCATTTCAGAGGTTCTAATGACACATATGGATTTGAAATATATGAAAGTGTTCCCAATTTCTTCACACCGCTTTGCACAGTTTAAAAAAAGGGTTTTCTGATGCATTATATCAGTTTGGCATTACTGTGGTTTTTAATAAAGTGGTTCTATATGTCTGCAGTGGTAGAAAGTAACTGAGTAGATTAGGCTCAGGAAGAATTCAAACAAACAAGGCGATGGAAACACTACCGCTTTTGTCCACAGGGATCTCAATTTTACTGATGGCTATTCTTCAGTGATATCGAGTTAATCCTCTCCCACCAACAAAGCAGACAGAAACAACAGCACACACATGTACTCTAACTATACATTACAGCCTTGGACACTGCTTTAGGCTGTTCATGTTTTACTGGGTAATGGAACTGAGGGTAATGGTTATTTGTTACTAAAGCAGGGTGATAGGTAGCTCACATTCAGGGTTTTTATAAAAAAATACTTTTATAACTATTAAAGCTTCAGAAGTCTATGTATTTCTGAATCTAATGAATGTGTTTGACAAAACTGTAACTGTCATTATTAATGGTGAATATTTATGGTGTTTCTTAATAATCCATTTAAAAGATGTCAGAAAACTGATGTATAAAGCTACAATACTGTACTTTTATATTGGTATTTCTAAAATTAAAACATTTATTTTTGTCTGCATGTGTCATACCTTTCATGAGTGCATGCAAATAGGTTATTTAATTCCCTCAAGAGAGTTTGGGCTAGCTGTAAAGCCTGGAGAAAAATATGTAAACTACAGCAGTGTAACATGCTGTATTGTGTCAATTTAATTTTCATAACATGATCTTTGGCTGTTCGCTGTTTTATTTTCAGGTCAGTCCTTGTAGCAGTGTGTCAATGTGACACAGGCAGGTATACATTCATCACTTACTTGTCTTAACTCAGTAGCTGACACAAAGGGGTGATGCAAGACATTCTGTAGGATCCATGGACAAAGCCTGGGACAGTAGAGGTGGCAAAGGAAAAAGAGATTTCAAGATAATATACATTTTCTTACAGGAGGAATAAAACCTATAAATTAGCTTTATCAATTACAATAACAGGAACACTTTTCATTCAGAATGCAAACTCAAAGCAACTTTTCACTTTCTCTGAACTTTAAATTTTTTAACACAATGAATTGTAAATGTTTTTTTCAGTATTTTAGGTATGACAGTACAGACATGGAAAAACTACAAAGATCAGTTTTTTTTTAAACTTTTGATTAAACATTTCAGTGACTGTGATGCAATTTAGCAGGAAGCTAGCTGCCATTACAATATTCAATGCTAGAGTTAATTGCATAAACCTCCAGTTAGCATTTATTATAAATGTTAAGAAAAACTGAAGATAAGGTATAATAGAGTACAGCAGTGGAAGGATATTAAATGGTCTGATTTATGGATCAGCCTTGCAACAAAAGGTTGAACAAGACATTCTTTTTCTTTGTTAATATCATTTTTGGTCAGGTATTTTAGTGGAAAAAGTATTTTTCTGGAGCAAAGTGAACAAATTACAAAGCTGAATGGTATTGGCTTAAAGGGACAGTTCACCCCAAATCAAAAATACATAGTATTCCTCTTACCTGCAGTGCCATTTATCAATCCACATGTGGTTTGAGTTGCTGAGTTTTGGAGATATCGGCCTTCTCTCCAATATAACAGAACCAGATGGCACTTGGCTTGTGGTGATCAAAGTGCCAAAAAAAATACATATTTTAAACTCAACAGCACTGTCTCTTTCCAGAAATCATGACCCAGTTCCTCAAGATAATCCACAGACTATGTTGTGAGCAGTTTCATATGGGAACTTAACTGTAAACATTAACTGTGTCCTCCTCGTTGAGCTGTAATGTTAGTTAGTTCACCTAGCACCACTGAGTTTTTCAAATGTAGTTTTTTTGCCGCTTTGAGCACCACAAGCCGTGTGGCCTTATATTCACCTGTAGGCTGATCACTCCAAAACTCAGCAATTCACACCAAAACAATCTTGATGGATAAATAACAAGACAGGTAAGAGGAAAGATATGTATTTTTGATTTTTGGGGTGAACTGTCCCTTTAACAACCCACACGTTCCTTTAGCTCTCTGGTCAGGGCACCTTGGGCAAGAACAGTTCCTAGCACAAACACTAGACCCTGGGTGGAGCCTGGACCCAATGCAGCCACCCTGAAGTAAGATCAAGTAATCATGTTTATACAACAACAAGGTGACAAATTAAAAACAAAAAAAAAAAGATTTTTATTAACAGTTTAGAAACACAACATTGTTTTCATCTCCCATTTCTGACTTTTGTTTTCTTCAAATCCTCCCCTTCCAATAAGTTCTGCAAACACAGAAGCACAATGTTGTAACGGGAAAATGGAGCCAACATCCAATCCATTTGGAACGTGAATCTGCACCATGGGGCACATTGAGGTAAAGAGCAGTGATGACACTAACACACCAACTCTTGTACGAAGTTTAGCAGCTTATGAGAAAACATGAAGTTTGACCAAAAGACATTCAAGCTTGTACTGGCGTCAGTAGAAAAATTCATGCGTCATATTAGTTTATCCAGCTGTATCAGAAGTGGAGCAGAGTGGAGACACAATGTTGACTCGTCCCTAGTTGGCAGCTCACTTTTAGTTCTAGTTGTCAATCTGCACATACAGGAGCACCTGAGCAGTTAACCACCACCCCCAACTGCTACATGACAGACCCCAGCATGTGCTTCTTTTTGCACTGTCAGGAAAGGTTATCAAAATTCTATTCAGCCAGTAATTAGAAAAAAGAAAACTTTAAATGAACCTTAGGGAGTTTGTAATGTCTTTTTGGCTACGTTCACACTGCAACCTTAAGGCTCAACTCTGATTTATTTGATGGCATTGTTTATTTTTTTTGATTTGGGCAGATTTGTCTGCAGTGTGACCTTAGTCATGTTTTCTACAAAACTACCTTTAAATTATATGGGCAAATAAATTCTGGATTGGAGCAAAGAAATGAATGCATGAGGAATCTTCCAAAGGACTCTAAACCACCCCTCACCCTCCGCTGTGGCCAGCACCGTTAGGTAGTGCACTCAATCAGTGGCTTTGAAAAGTCAGTAAAGGTGCAGGTGTTAGGACAAATAGTGACATAGTGATACAGTGCAGAGGACAAGGCAGGAAGTGACAAACCAGAGTAAAACTACACTTATCCGTGTCAAACATCCATACAGTTACACCGATGTGGCCAAGCACTGCTTTCATCTGGCGCTGTACCAGCATCGATGTCATCATTTGTTGGACACAGATATTTCATTTGGACCTGCAGACCTGCACTGCGTCCTCTTGGGCTTTATTTTAGTTGAACTACTTCTTCACGGTGTTTAAGTGTCCGTTGCTTACAGAATCCATGACAAACAGAAGAGATGAACAGCGCAGAAGAGGAAAGGGGAACAAGATGAATGGTCTTCAGTCCTTATCCAATCAGCTTCCAGCAGTTCAATACACAGGGGCATAAAAAAAAAAGAAAACAACCAAACAAAAACAGAGAGTGAGAAGGAACTTGAACATTTATACACTGTCAATAAATATAGTGATTTTTTTCCCAGTTCCAGCTGTTATAATTCATCTTCTATGTGGTTTTCAGACTGGGCCTTCTCTGTTGGTCCTGGAAATGAGGACAGAGAGAAAAAATGAATACTGTGTGTATGTGAGGTTACGTCAACTCAGTTTATTAGAACAGAAAAACAGACGCTCTATAGCGAGTATGTTCTCTCTCCAGTCCAGGGCTACAAGTGACAAGTAACTAAAGGCCATGTTTACTGATTTAATAAGACAGACAAAAAGCTGTTGCTATGGTAAAGCCTGTTAGCAGAGGCTGAATGGCTGTGACATTTGAAAAGGTTTTGGCTGGAAGAAGAGGGAACATGCAGACCTGGTTCTGCTAATGTTCAAATACAGTATTCATGTCTGACTGGGACTATGACAAATGGTTTTGGAGCTATTTCTGAAGGCAGCAGAATCATTCTTGAAACGTTAGACATCAAATAGGCCTTTTCCCAGCAGCCATTTTCACATTAAATAGTAAGGTAAACACACACACACACCGAGCGTATTCCTATAGAGCAAAACACTAATAAGCTAGTTAATTGTTAATGACGAATTTGCCAAACATTAGCTAGCTAGTTACATCTGATAGCCAAAGTTAGCAAAACACTAGCTAACAAGCTAACAATGTAGATTAGCTAGCTAGTTAACTAGCGTTTTACTAACATTATTTAAATTATGATTTTATTATGATTATGATCACTTATCTTTAAAACGTAGTTGTCTTTTCAACATAGATGAGCCTAGCACTTAGCATATCTAAGTAGAGGAAAG